GGGGGGAACGCTCGGATGCGCGGCCAAGAGGGAGAGGATCTGGCCCGGCTCCAAGAGATAAGGGCTGATCAGGTGGAGGGGGAAGGGGACACACACTCGGGCAAGGGAGGGAGAAAGCGAGGAGGACGCAGGGAGAGAGAGAGAGAGAGAGAGAGGGGGGGAGAGAGAGAGAGAGAGAGAGAGAGAGAGGGCAGGCGGGTGGAAGATCGGCGTGGGCGGGTGCCACACGTGACGGCCCCGCGGTGCCGGTTAATGAAGCGACGTCAGCGCCCCCTGGGGGAGGGGGGGAGGGGCCAGCCCGGCACGTGAGGGGATTTAAATTTTGAAACCCGACACATTGCGGCGACGAGGCGACGAGAGGCGGGCCATCTCTTTGGGAGGAAGAGGGAAGGGGAGGTGGGAGAATGCAAGGGCGCCGGGTTTGCGGGGGGGGGGGGGGGTCCCAAGGTCCAGACACAAGCGCGAGGGGGAGACGGAAAGGAAGACCAGGGGAGGGACAGGGTACTGGAGTGGTCGCGAAGGAAGCGACGAGGCGGGGGGGGGGGGGGGGGGGGGGGGGGGGGGGGGGGGGGGGGGGGGGGGGGGGGGGGGGAGGGGGGAGTGGGGGGGGGGGGGGGGGGGGGGGGGGGGGGGCGGCGGGGAGGGCGGCGGATGGGACTGCCCCTCGGGAAAAGCAACAGGGCAGGGAGGAAGTCGGCGAAGCAACAAGGAGCAGACCGCCGCGGGCCGCCCCTCGGGCAGTGGAGGCAGCCGGACGGAGCGCAAAGCAAGCTCCCAGACTCGCTCGGTCATGCCCGGGGAAGAGGAAGGGAATGTGTGTCTGTGTGTGTGTGCGTGCGTGCGTGCGTGTAGAAGGGAGAAGCAAGAGGCTGTGGAGAGGAAAGAGGCAGACCAGCGGCGGGGGAGGAGGGGGGATCGGCGGTGGCCGGGTCGCCTGGAGGGGGAGGGAAACGGGAGAAAGGGGAAGGGGAGAGGAAGCGAGAAGACCGTACGATGCGTAGTAGAGCAGGG